GCCATAACAATAACCACCACCACTGTTGCCACCATACCACCCCCACCCCCACTGTCACCGCCACTCCATCACCACCACCACTACCATCACCTCTACCCCACCACCATCATCGTTGTTCTACCACCACTACCCCCTACTACCCCACCCCCTGTCTCCACGACCATCACCACCATTCCCATTGCCGTCACCTGCTCATTCTCACTACCACTGCTCATTTTCATTACAATTGGTGTTTAAATTCTTTTTTCTTTCTTTTATGTTTATGATTTGATTTTAGATATGAATATAAATATATTTATTATTTATCATTTTTTTATTACTTTCTGCCTTCAGGCATAGACAATAACTAGTATTTCTATAGAGTCCCTCAAACAGATAATATTTATATTATTAACGATTTTTTAACATAAATTTGTTACGTGATACCTAAATATTGACGTGTAATATGGATAGTTTTGACCAAAATTTTGATAGTTCATGATCAAAACTGTGTAATTTGAGTAGTTCTTTAACCAAAATTTGGATAGAAATTTAGTCAAAAATTATTCAAATTATTTTTTTATCTATATTTAAGTATTATGTGACAAGTTTATAATTAAAAATCGTTAACAATTTGGATGTTGTTTCCCTGAGGGACCACATAGAATTATATTAAATATTTTAGGATCAAAATGATACCATTGAAATATTAGTGATTTAAATGAGATAAATATCATACTTTGAAAACTTCCAATTCAATTAATTCTAAATTTTTCAATCTAACTTTGTGTCGGCCGTGTGAGCAATATCCAAACACAACTTCGTGTCCATTCCACGTAGAGTTGGTAAACGATTCAAGCTTAAACATTTTTTAAAGCTCGTTTATGTGTAAATAGTTAAATGAATCAGCTCGTTTATGTGTAAATTAAACTCGAATTCAGCTCAAATTTATAAGGATAATAAAAATTCAGCTCGTTTATGATGGCCCCAGACTTTGCTCTAACACCAATTCTTTATTTCAGAGTTCGTATTTAGTTGTAGATGACTTTCTTTTTCTTCCCATAGATTGTAAATAAAGTTATAAACAACACAAATGTTATTTGGAAATGCAGTTATAGTGTATTATCAAAGTATAACAATACAGTTAACCATGACAGTGTAACAATACACTTACACAAGACACTATAATGTAACATTGTTTCAAAACATGATTTTGAATATGAATTCATTGTAACAATACAATTATATTTTAATTTAATATCACAATCACAAAAAAATGTTTGAATACCAAAACCCAGCCACCGATTGAGAAGCAACAATGCAATGTTAAAATTGAAAACATATGTTCAACTAAGATATTTATCATCAATGTTCCAGGGCAAAAACACCACCAAGCCAAAAAAAAAAAAAAACAGACATGACCAACTAAGGTGTAGATGTATATGCACCACAACCTAGTGTTCAAAAATCAAATAGTTTTGGGAATTTGCCTAAAAACAAAAGTGTACCAGTACAATAACATAAGGTATTTTACCGACTTCATTGTATCTATTAATTGTATATCCATATTCAAATTTTCAAAAAAAATTGATTTGCACAAGCCAAAAAGAACAAAAAAAAACCAAATCAAAATCACGTTTTTGATTCGAAATATAAACAATGATCTTAGAAACATCAAAGACACAAACACTACCAAACAAAAAAGAAATTCGTTGCTTATTGTATGTTAACGGACACAAGATCAATGCTCCGCAAACCATTACCCAAATGCCAAAGAACATTAAAAAAAAAAAAAATTTGTTCAGCAACTGAGATGAAAATGTCACACCAGTTTGAAAGGAAGAATGACGGCTGAATCGTGTGTAGAATGAGGAAGATGAAACCGTTTTTACTCTTTTGTGTTTCAAAGATGAAGCAATTACAAAGGGGTACACAGCACATAATTAAAGTAAATTTATTTTCCTAAAACCAATTTTTGGATACTAAATTGTGGAAAAAAAGACAGTGAAGTCCTTCTATCTCACAATTATATTTTTTTACAAACACATTTTTTACTGTGTACTCTTTTACAATTAAATTTAATTTAGTGTACCGCCTTTCAAAGGATCCTTAATTTTTTGGCCGACTTTACCCGATCGAGGGTAATATTCCTAGTTAAATTTTATCCAAAAAATCGGCTCGAAAATCGGGAAGGAATATAAAATATCTCACATATTTTAGTTTTTAAGTTATTAATTTTTTGATCATTTTAATAAATTAATTGCAAAATTTTGGGCTATTTTTATAATTAAGCTATTAAAATATAATATAAGAACATGCAAACCAACACAATAAACTAGTAACACAAAAAAAAACACAATAAATTTAATAATGTGATCATATTAAACGACGTCGTTCTATACTAAATATATCATTTTAAAAGAAGAATTAAATATATGTGCGGGTCAGATAAAAATGAGAAATTTTTTATAAATATTCTGCTTTCTTACCCGCAATTTTCTAGAATCTTAAAATTTCTTCCACTAGCCGGCTAAAATTTTGCAGAATTCTAATAATTCGTAGGTAGGATGCTGAATGGGCGGGGTGGACAGAATTTTGAATAGCACTACCGAGAGCCGGGTATAAGGCAGCTTACTGGTTACCACTCATCTTAAATATGAGATTAAAAAACTATTCTTAAATATTTATTGATTACTGATGGGACTTTTCTGAAATACTCCATGATGAAGACACGTGTCTCGGTATTACCAAAATACTGTTGCTAAGATCAAGCACCATCGGCGCACAAAAGTCCTCGCCCCCAAGGTACTCGTCATATAGGATCATGGCATTCAGTACGTTTTACAACCGACACGTAGCCTCGGTCTGATATGGTACCTTGGTCGGTATACCTCCCTCGGTTCCGAGATGAGCCTTTCCTCGGTGCCGAGAGGTACCCCGTCCTGGACGCTTCCTCTACTCCAGGATAAGCTATTGACGTATGGGTCATTAGCCTAGGCTATTCATCATGATCTCGTCTTACACAATTAGTGTCAGAACGTACTGGAATGCAGGGGCCACAGACAATGGGGGATGGACGCGTGGCATATGATGTCACATCAAAAACAGAAAAATCGCATGCCGTTGCTGACACGCAACTTGAGAAACAAACGATTAATTACACCATTCTCTTGACGAGACTGCATTCAATGCGGTAAGGCTCGAAATGAAAGGCAATAAATGTTCCTAATACAGAGCATTTATTGCATCCTCCCCGAAAGGAGTTCATTGTACCGTTGACATCCCGATGACGCAGCATTGATTGCTCGGGACCCCCGAGCAGTTAAGAAGAGAAGACATTCCTCATCAGAATCAGTGCGCACACTGCCTGTACCTAATGATCACCTACTGACTACACTGACAGCAATCATGAGTTTTTGAGATATAAATACTCCTTGCAAAAGGCAAGACATGTATGCAACAACAAACTCTTTACTACAATACACACTCAGTGTTTTCTTTTTCTCTCTCAAAGACTGACTAGATCGTCGGAGGGGATACGCCGGAAAACACTCCGGCGCCCTTCTAACTTGTTCTTCTTTGTTCCAGGAACTTTTCTTCAGCCTTACTGGATCGTTCTTCCGCTCCCCCAGGATCTCCCGTTGCCGTTCCAGGATACCATCGGACCTCGCAGGCTGTTCCAAGCAGCGTGGTTGATCACTCAACTGACTCACTCGAGTTCACCAAGGGTGAGATCTGTTCTCGTTTTTATATTGTGCAGAATCTTGCACGCACAGTTACCACTTCTGGAATATTTATTGGTTAAAAAACTATTCTTAAATATTTATGAGATTACCACTCAGCTTACTGGTTACCACCTCTGGGAATTTAGGTACTCTCTATATTTTTAAATATTTATTGTTTAAGATTTTTACGTAGAGATTAAAAAAATTATTAAATAACTTTAATATGAATAAAAAATAATTATACAAGACTAAAATATTTTTATTCAATATATATTGAAAAAAAAAGAATATGAAAAACACTTAACTTCACCTAATTAAATATATTAAAAAAATTAGGATAAATTTGAAAAAAAAAATATTAATTATAATTTAATTTCATAAAACGATAAATATTACAGAATAAAAAAAATTATGTAAAATTATAAATATTTAGGAACGGAAGAAACAACTTAAAAAATCGATGATATATTCAATCTTGGGGGTGGTTGAGTCAAATTCCAGACTTATTGCATAGAACCAAGAAGTTTCTCTCTCTCAGCCACTAATTCTTTTTAGTGGTTGGAGATCACATCAACTGTTGATGGTTCATATCTATCCTGAAAATTATTGTGTTCTTAAAAGTCATACTTGCGTCGGTGGGAGCAATTCTAAAGCTGAACCGTGACTGTCTTTTTCTATATGTGGATGAGAATTTCAAGGTTTCCTTGAACAGAAAACCAGTTTTTATTAAGCAAGACCGCAAAGTCTTGAACTTTGACAATGGCATCGAATAAAAAATTTTAGTATCGTACACTTAAAATTTATTATTATTTTTATAGATATTTTTATCATTACGATACCCAAAAAAATAATAAATATTGATAGGAACCTATTATTATTTTTTGTGGGTACCGTAGACAACCGCCAACGTCTTTGGGTTGTTGCTCACAAACAGAGGGGGTTGGCGAAGGGCAGGTCTGGTCTGAGAAAAACAGATGGAAAGAGTGTTTGGGTGGTTATATAATTTTTTTTCCCAATAAAGATGGAAGAGGAATAAGAATAGTCTTTTGTGAAAGTGCCCCACTCAAAGTCTAACCAAGAAAACCTCTTTTTTCGATTCCGATCTTAGTCCTAAACAAGGTATTGATCATTTAGTAGCCTTTAAACAGCTTATCCATTACCTTTTGATTCAAAACTATTATTTTCAATTATTATCTAAAAAATCACAAACCATGTAATTTCTTGTTGACCATGCACCAATCCCATAATAATGATAAATAATAATAATAACAAATATAAAAAACATCTCCATAATTAATCAAAATCAAGTTAGGTATCTTTCACTATCAAGTACCAAAGACAACCACCAAGGAATAAAACAACCACCAAAAAAGGGTTAATAACATTACTATCCAAGAAACTACATCGAAAATAAGAGCTTGTCTTTCTCACCGAGGGAAATGGAACAAAGAAAATGAAACACATCACTCTCTCCCACAACACAGTAACACTTGATTCAAATTCTCTCGATTAAACATTCACTCAATTGTAAACCACTTACCCTGAATAGACGTGGGACCCACTTATAATTAGTGGACCTCACTTAAATTCACGGCCTACTATTCAAAAAAATCGAGTGAAATATAACGGAGAGAATCTCAACCTCACAACACCACCAAATTAAGAACAAAATATTCAAATACATAGAAGGTGTAAAATTTCATGGAAATTTGAGTAATGTATCTTTATAGTTGTGTTTGATTTTCAAGTTACTGATCAAGCTTGCTGCCTGCGACGTCGACGACGAACCGGTACCTGACATCGTTCTTCTCCAATCTCTCAAAAGCAGTGTTGATGTAATCCATTTTCACCAGTTCAATCATGGAAGTGAGGTCCTTCTCCTTGCAGAACTCAAGCATTTCCTCTGTTTCTTTCATGCTCCCTACGAAGGTCCCTGTGATGGTCTTCCTCCCTTCATGGGGAAAAAAAAGCAAAAACATACCTATAATCAGAATCTATAAGCCTAGGCCTTTAAATTCTGTATTGTTTACCAGCGAGTGGGGATGAACAAGTAGGTACCGACCAATCTAGAGATTGAAAGTTCGAATCTTAGAGTCCACAATTAAGTTTGAAAGTTGACCACTATGTTAACCTAACTAAGTTCGTTCGCGAGAGATGTAATAGGTACTATTAGAGGCCTTATAATCCCACTAGTAAGGGCTTATCGGAGTGGTCTCTAGACGCCATTTTTTACCCCACTTTTTTTTAAATAGCAAAAAAAAAAGGTTCTGTATTATTTATTTATATATGCATCCTTTACACAATAGTAAACTTACATGAATTTAATGAAAATAAATTTAGTCTTAACGGGTTTAAATCATGACCACATTGACTGATACCTACGTAATAAGTGGATCATTTTTGGATTAAACCAACTTTGCTATGCTCAGCTCAGCTCAACTTAAGAAAACATTATCTCTTTTTCATCGTTGTGTTCTATTGAGGATCATACCTTTTTGTTAAACCATTATCTATCATTTCTAACAAGTACCCATTATTCTTCTCACTCATGCACTTATTAGACTTTCTACAAATTTGTTCAAACGATCTACAAATTTGTTCAAACGACCTAAGTCACTTATCTCTTAATTTATATTCGGTATGTGCTATTTGTGCTTTTTTACAAATATTATCATTCCTAGTTCTATCTTCATATTCTAAGTCCCACTTTGTTCAATTTTTATCGTATTATCTCTTAATCGTCCAATATTGGTACAGTAAAATATGATTGATTTAACAGATATCGTCCAAACGCACCACTTTATATTATGTGTGTGTGTGTGAGAAAGAGAGAGACACCAAGCATAACCATAGGGGTGATAAACTGCAGTGGGGGTGTTGATAACACCGGTCAAAATCAGAGAGAGAGAGAGAGAGAGACTCACCAAGCATAACCATAGGGGTGATAAACTGCAGTGGGGTGTTGATAACACCAGTCAAAATCAACTTTCCATCAACTTTCAACAAAGAGAGATAAGGCTCAAGAGGGTGAAAGACAGGCACTGTGTCAATGATATAATCAAGTGAGTCAGCAGCCTCTTGCATCCGAGTCATGTCTGAACTGACCAGGTACTCATCAGCACCAAGGTGTCCCAGAGCCTCCTCTCTCTTCTTGTCTGAAGAGCTTATCACAGTTATGTGATGGCCCATTGCTTTTGCTACCTTCACACCCATGTGTCCAACCCCTCCAAGCCCCAATATGGCTCCTCTTAGACCACTCTCTTTCAACCCAAAATGGTTTAGTGGGCTGTACACTGTTATTGCTGCACATAGTAGTGGAGCTGCCTGTTCTGATGCCATCCCTTCTGGTATTTTCACCACAAACCTAAACAGGAAGAAGATGCAATTTTTATTTTTAAAAAAAATTTACATATAAATAAATAAATAAATATGTGTGTGTGTGTGTGTGTGTAACAATACATTCAATCCCTAAAGTAAACACTTAGTGTCACAAGATATCCCCTTTTTTCCAATCTTGTCACTTTCGTCCCTAAATGTCAAATTTGGGGTTTGGTAACGAATAGTATCAAGTAACATTTGACTAAATTTGTCATTCGTCTCTATAATATATTATGAGAAATGTCAATTTAACCCCTTAATTATCGATATTGTCAATCACATTCCTAAATCATCCGTGACAAATAAAGTGCATTTCTTAAGGACCATTCATATATGCTATCCATATCATCATTATGATCTAGCCAGGCTCCACTAACTTCTTCCTCCCACTATTTCTTTCTTTTTTTTTTAATTTCAGTCAAGATTATTCAAGTTAACTTATGCACACTTTAATTAATATTATCTCCAATTCAGTCAAAAATAAATCATTTACATTGAGATTAAAAAATTTATAAATAATAAATCTTTTGAAACCCGACCTTAAATAAATATCAAATTTTAACCTTAGAATGTCTGAATTTACGGTATATCCCCAACTCTAATGAGTCTTTAGTCTAATGATATTTTTTGTTTTAGAAAGACTTTGTCTTCTTGATGTCAAAAGTTCATGTCCCCTCCCTTTTTTTTTCTCCAAAAAAATAAATAAAAAATAAAAAGGGTCTATCCCCGACTCCATCAGAATATAGGATTGGAGCTGGCTCCCACTATACTTTTGCTTTAGGAAATACAATGAATGTGGTGGGTCCACAGAATATCACACACACACACCATAAAATATCATGATGATACTATGCATCACAGTTATATGACAAATTATAGAGGTATTTGGAGGACCGTGTGATTACTTTTGATCGACGACCATAGCGCCAGCAAAGCCTCCCTGGGTGGGTTTCCCATCGGAGTAGACATCGTTGTAGGACCACACCACCTTTTTGCAGTACTGTTCAATGTCCGATTTGCACGGGCGACAACTCCTACAGCATCCAACGATCGCTCCCACTCCAACACGATCTCCTACCCTGAACTTGGTCACAGCTGATCCTACCTCCACAACCTCACCAACGACTTCATGCCTTCACCAAATACAAGAAATTAATGCCCAAATACAAGAAATAATTGGCATTATATGCTATTTTTTAGGAAAAGTTGTCAATAAAACAATGGAATTATTAGTGTGTAACAAATTAGTAAGTTCCAATTAACTTCCGTCAAATACAGATCATCTACGTCGAACCCAGGAAATTCAGATAAATCACTGACCCAAAAATTATGTGTGTAGGACGTATTGATGTTTTACCCATTATTCTACCACTAAATCAATCCGTGCGGGGGTTTAGGCTGGCATGTAGAATAGTTGGCTTGTATTCTACATGACAATGGTATAAATACATAGACACGAGTATATATTATGTACAGAGAATACATATTGACAGGAAGAAAAAGGGTTATAGAGAGAATGGTGTAGAATAGATACCCCGGAACCATGGGGTACTTGGACATGCCAAGATCATTTTTGATCTGGTGAATATCAGTGTGGCAAATTCCACAGCAAATCACCTTGATGAAAACATCTTCTGGTCCTGTGTTCCTGTTAATCCATGTTCAGACAAACAAGTTTATAATTGACATGAAATATGTGGAAATCAACAAAGAAAAACCAGATGGAGAGAGAGAGAACCTGAGAGTATAGGTATAGGGTGTGAGAACCCCAGATGGGTCTCTTGCTGCCCACCCTGTTGTTGTTCTCTCCGCATCCAGGCTACCCATATTGCCAAACTCTTGTTAGAAAAAGTTGCAGTGTAGAGAGAGAGACAGAGATAGAGAGTTGGGCTGTAATAGAATTGGTAGACTCACATATATATACAACAATGAGAAAGAACATGAAGCGAAGGAAAAGGTTGGATATAGCAAGTTGAAAATGAAACAAGCGACCTCTCAGCTGCAGGCACGTCTGGTGGGTTAGTTGAAAGCTTTATCGTTAATTATTTTAATTTCTTTTTTTAATCAACAATATTAAATCCACCAAAACTTTATCAAATTTTCATATTTTAAAAAATATTTATCAAATTTTATTTGGACAAGTCCATATATATTGTGGATGATAACTTTTGTTCATCCCTAGATCCATCATTGATCAACACCTATTTTTCTTCTAGAAAAAAGACCCAAACCAAATGATTAAACTTGTTACTCGGAGCTCAAAATAAAATTTTTCTTAAATCTTGAATGAAGAGATTAATTATTTTATCTAGTAGATATCATTGATAGAGATGATGCAAAGAACTAAGAGATTTGAATAAATCTTCGATTTGAACTTTTACAATAAAACTATACTCTTTTTTTTCTGGTAAAATTTAAATGTCATCATTCATTAATCTTTAATCCCCATAGTTGTCATGGTATGAATATAAGTAAATAAATTACGCCATTTCTTTGGAGATAAGTTAATCACAAAACTCTAGCAATTTCTTTTATTACTAATGCAAATTAAATTGAATTTATGGCGTTATTGAAGATGTAAATGGACTTTTATTTCCTCTTTAAAAAAAAATTTAAATGTAAGATATCATAGGCTAATTTTGTCCTGAGATCTTTGGGGTGAATCAATTAAGCGCAACATTACAAAACCTAAATAAAATCTAAAAAATTATAACTCAAATATATATCATTTCTTAGATGAGTAAATTTTATTAACTTTTTTAGTGAATCTCACCCATCCTACACTCATTTAAAAAATAATATTCATTTAAATTTAAAATTTTGAATTTCATTTGAGTAATGTAACATTTATCATAAGATAATTATATGCATTTTCTTTTACCAATGTACTCTATAGTCATAATAATTGAATTTCTGGAAAAATAATACTTTGTTCAATTATAAAAACCAGTTAAATGTAAACAGAAAACCATAGAATTTCTTCTTTTTTTTTTTTTATTTTATTTGATAGGGTTTGGAAAGAGATGACCCCGGGCGCGGTAGGTAAAGGATGGGACGTCACATAAGCCAACCTCTTTCGGCTTTTATATTCTAAAGCACTCGAAGTTTATTAAATTCGAAAGAGGCCCACACAAAAATTTCTTTTGCTTTACTTTTTTCACTTTCTTCCCAAGGACCGGTTCAGGGTATGTGACAAACTTTACCTAATAGATCCTAATAGTAAAATGGCCAAACGACAGCATATAATTAATTTTATAATCATAATTAATTGTGATTAATTTTATTTTATTATTTTTAATCAATAATTACAAATAATTGAAATTAAAACCAACGACTCAAATAATTTCGGTATAGTATTTCTACAATGCCACAGCCTATCTAAAAGTTAATGGGCTTCAATTTGTGAATCAAAATTCTATGTAATATATAGTTTTTAATTCGTGCGCATCGCGTAATAAAAAGAATCTACTTATACATAATGATTTTTTTTTCCAACTAGCATTAAAAAAGAATAAATAAAAATTATTGAAAAGAATCCAAATCATCTTATTGCTATTGAGTGAATATAAATAACACATCTTGTAAATCGTTATCATTAGATTAAAGTTGGGTTAGGGTCCAAATTGCCCCTTGGGGACATCCATTAACTTTGAAACGATAAAGAAAAACTCTATCAAAACTTATGATTCAATTATATTTAAAGTCAATCAAGTTAGTAAGTTACGATTCTTGGTATCTATTTGAAATTTTTTATTATCAACACCAAAACCTCGAATTCAATTAATGAGAAAAAAAGTAAAAATTCTATCAAATCGTATGATTCAATTAAATTTAAAGCCAATCAAGTTAGTAAATTACCATCCAATAACATTGATTTAAGATCAATCTCAAGTTTTTTAATCTCTATCTACAATTTTTTGTCTTTAACTTATAATTTATTCGGTCGCAATTCTCTTTTAATATTATATCAAACAAGTTATTTTTTGGTTATAAATATTTTTCCAACACTAACAAATTTGGATTATTATTAAACCAAATATTTCTAATAAAAAAACAAATTAAATTTCCATGAGATTGGTTCAAAGTCAACCGTTCATGGCCAAACTATACCCAACTAAAACAATAATATCGTAAAGAAAATAAATTTAATCTGTCACCTCAGCACACCTACCCCCAATGTTTATAATATTTCATTCAAATCATTACAAGTCAGCCCTTATAATTTGGGAGATATGTAGGCAGATAAGATTCAACATCCCACCACTCCACCCCACCAAAAAAGAAAAAAAAACCCACCAACCAACTCATTAGGTCTTGCTTCATTTTGCATTTCTCCAATTCAGAAGCTTCCCACAAGGTGATAAAACAAAAATTTGAAGATTTAATAAAACCATCTGCAGCTTATGGCTCCAATTTTCCAAGAACAATCATAAATGGGACATTACTATTTCACTTATGCTCCATTTGGTACGATAAAAAAGTGGGAGGATGAAAAATTGGAAGAATGAAAAATTAGAGGGATAAATAAAATATTATGTTTAATAAAAAAAAAAATAAGAAGGATAAAAAAGTGTATGAATTAATTTTCCTTCTAACTCACCAAAATTAATCCCTCCAAAATCGAAAAAAAAATGAATGAAAAGTTAATTATTTGTGTTAAAATGTATCTTATTTATCTATATATATATATATATATTATGTATATATTAATTTCATATAAAAATACAATGGTAAAATATGTATATGTATATATATATATTTTTTTTATTTTTTTTTTTAAAATTAAAAATTAAAAAAATATATATTTTTTCCATCTTAACTAAGAGTGAAAATTTTCGACTCAACAAGATGACATAACTCGAACTCAATACGAAAATAAACATGTCAAGTTGTAACTCGACACGACACAATTAGCTAATTGAGTTAAATTAGATTTGACTAATATTATATACAAACCCCATAATGACTCAACACGAATCTAACATGACATGACTCGATTGTCACCCCTAATCTTAACCAATACAAAAAAAAAATTATCATTTTTATTTTTCATCCATCCAACCAAACACAAAAAAAAAAATGTATTCTTCCAACTTTCCATCTATGAAGGATAAAAAATATATTCTTCTTATTTTTCATTCTTCCTACTTTTCATCCTCCCTACCAAACAGAGTATTAGAGCTTTAACCTGATAGCCACCCACTATCAAAGATCAAAATTTTATTTTAAAATAGTTAAAATATTCAAAATGTCTCTATTTTTAAAGAGATTAAAATGAATCAATGAGAAAATAAAAATTTTAATACTTTAAAGTATTTCATGATATTTCAAGGTCTTTTATAATATATTAATACATTTACACAATTATTTCATAATATTTCAAGATATTTTAAAATATTTTAATATATTTTAACCATTATTTTAAAAAAATAATTCTTAAATATTTTATTTTTTCATTATATTTTCAAAACGGATCAAAACACTTCTTTTTTTTTAAGTGATTGAAACATTACGTCAAAACAAAATTTTGATCCTTACCCACAACAAATCTAAATGAAAGGTCAACGCAGCAAACTTTCAAAACTAATGTGCTTTTTCATATTTTTCTGACAATAGGGTGTAATTTGATTATAATGTTAATACACTTCTCCTTGTAATATAATAATACTAGTTATAACCCGTGTCTAAAACCACGATGAAACATAAAATTCAAACATCCAAAAAATTGAATATACCATATTCTTTCCTTCATTTCTTTGATCACATTATTTAAAATTTATTTTTATCCATTACTTTCTTAAAAATATCAACAATTTTCTCAAAATACATAATTCAATAAAAAAATTTCAACATGTATATACAATCGAATATGGATAATATCTAAAATAAAAATAAACTACAAATTAATTAAATAATGTGATATTTTGAAAGAAAATATAGAGGTGATAAACTTTCAAACTCCTACGTGTTTTATTATTATATCAAAACAGAATTTTCAAATGACAAATTAGCTGTCCAACAAAGAATATAAGGACAATTATATGGTTGTTCAAACTCTCTGGCAATTGATAAACATACTTGAGGGAATGTTGTTCCTTGTGCCATATAAAATTGTTTCTGTTGGTTATTCGATTATGTCTCATATAACCTCAATAAAAAAACAACAGTTTACCGTTCAACGATGGGGTTAGGCAGCCGTCTAAGTAACATTAGTAGTAGTTAGTGACAATGATCTATAACAACGCAGGTTTGGCCTTCCATGTGCAGAAGCAAATTAATTATATAACGTGCAGCAAGTACTATTTAATAGGCAATGTTTGCTTCAAGTCTCTATAGATATTGCAGTTCGGTGTAACTAAATCTTCTTTTCAACATCCAAAGCACATAGCACCATATACATCTAGACATTGGGATTCAAATTTCTAGTATTATACATATAAATGACCCGTGGTAAATTTAGGCGTAACTAACACTATATATATAAGTGAATCTCGGACATCTTCGAGGGAGAAGACTAAAGATGCTATAAGAGTATTTGCAACTGAGGTTAACAATAGATTATGTCAAGCTCATCATGTCAGTTTTATGCAACATCCATTATAATTGTACATACCCAAGTTTGTATTTTGTCAAATTAGCTATTCCACACACGAACATTACACGTGAATCATTTAAAATTATAAATTAGAATACTTGTTTAGATGATTAAATTAAAATATGATTACCTTATATAACAATTTTTAGGAGGCTATAAATAAATTACTTGTAAGAAACTAGACTATAAAATATCAGAAGTCATTACATTATTATGTTTCCAGATAATTCCTACATTCACCACACTATAATATTTCATGATTCAACTTTCAAATAATAATTAATATATTCACTTTCCTTCAATATTTATGCTTGGAATGTGAACTATCTAACTCTTCATATACCAACTGCAGAGAGATTTGTTTTAAATTATTAAAAAAATGATGTATATAAATCTTTTAAGAAGATGAAAGATTATGCAAATATCATGTAATTAATTGAAGATTTAAGAAAGATTAATCAACGTAATTTGTTATTTTATTAAAGTAATTATGGTCAATTAAAAATTTTCACTTTTATTAACTTTTTATAATGGTATATAAATATAGATAGATATAGATTTGTAGCGTGTAAAAACTTTGTCTAGTTGATATCATTTATTAACACATTAAGAATAACATGTGCTTGAAGGCACTCGCAAAAACACACATAACCCTCTAATGTTATGGATCAATGTGATATCGTCATTTTTTCTGCCCCATGGAGGGTCTCAAGCACACACTTGGAACTTATGTTGAGAATGTTTCCCTCAAAAAATCGTCGTTTTAACACCCAAAATGCCGTTTAGCAAGTAGTAAGTTTGTTGGCTCTTTGAAACATGTGAATGCTTTCAAAGTATAATGAGGGTAATCTATAACTGGGTCAAATCGCATGAAGTTATTCTAAACCTTAGTAATACTTGGGATAAAAAAGAGCAATACCTGACTGGGAGAACCCAACTTCATATGCAAATATCAGCAACTTACCTACCCTTCAAGTGGCCCAGCAGAAAGAAAAAGTTACCTTTCAACAAGTTCATTCTTTAGTTTCCAATTTGTCAAAAGGTAGAGGGTTACCCAACAATCCACCAGTTAAACAGCTCAATCAAGTCCAGAATGACAAGAATCACATCATAAACTAAATAACATGTAGTTCACAAAATCATGAATATTTGATCTACAACAATGTATGCATACGTTCGTGCTGTTAAGAAACATATCTTGCTCCAGTTGTGGATTAAGGTGTCTAGCACATTACATGAATAAACAACCAAGTCATTTTCCCCCCACTCGGAGAACTAATAATAATTCATCATTTTCTTCCACAAGCAGATGTTGATCAAGATTGAACCTCACTTTATGCTAGGAGCCTCACCAGAAAACACCTGAACTATAACTACTCCCTAAAGTTCTACAATTTCTTGAGACGACAGTTGATCACATTCCAGAAACACAAAAAGGATAAAGGAAACAGCAGTACTGGATGAGCAAGACCGGTGCTATGTACAAGTAAGAGGACATAGCTCTAACCATGTATAACCTACAGTTTCACCACAAATGTAAGAATCAAGTCAATTCAAAAGAAGATGTTGGGTAACTCCTTCGAAGACCAAGTAATAAAGTAGACCTTCCTGCTAGCGTCCACCAAAGAATCAGGGTGCAGCAATAATAAGGCAGTTCCTTGACTAGTACAAAATAAAAGAGTTATACATAGAGCAACTTGGCAGTTTCTTCCTCCCCCTCCTGAATGTGTGTACAGCCGCAAGGTTGCGGGTTTGAATTTTAGGGCAATCAAATGCGGCCACGGGTTAGGTCTATAACAGTACCTCTATAAAAACCCTTATATATACTGAACATAATTCTCCTTGAGCCAACTACAGGCAAAAAATTGTGACAGTAGAAATTTCAGACTGCGAGAAACTGTCACTCTAATATGACTAGAATCCAATAAAAAGGATGGGAGGTTGCTTAGTGTAGTGGTAATATGATTGGGCTAACAACCAGAAAGTTGTGTGTTTGAATTTTATAGCCACAACAATATACAAATAAGGCAAAGGGTAAGGTCTGAACCCAAGTCCACCCCCTCGGTAGCATCACCATCAAGAACCAAATGGAATAAGTATCATAGCAAGGTTTGGGGCATACAATGCCTAGAAAATTCAATCACACGGTACTCTGTTATGGCATTATGAGATGACATTGTTGGGACATTGCCCAGAAGTGTACAATGTTGCCTACCGCTACCTACAAAAACATTACAAGTATATAAGATCTGCGGAAAAAGTACAGTGTTCTGGATTCGAAGAGGACTAGTCAGGCCATCATAACATAATCTATCTCGAATAAATATGCCAGAAGGTATTCTTTTAACAATGGTTTTATCATGCTATATGAATTTAAGTACAAGATAAAATCCTAACCCGCCAGCCCAAGCTGAAACCATCAACACTTCCAAGCCACTAACAAAATTATATGCACCTATTTGCAACAGCTGAGTTAAGCCTATAAATATCTTTTCAAGCAAATGGGTCTCAGTGAAACTACCTTACGAAAATAATTACAGAAATAAAACAAGAAATTTTGTTTTAGAACTTCAATAGTTAGTGAGAAAGGAAAAAGCAAAACAAAAACCTCACCATACTAGGTGGTTCTGGAAAGGCATCTCTCAAATAAGCTGCAACCAATTCATATAAACTTCTCTTGGCACCCCGTCCAATGGTCCATGAGCTAGAATAAAAAACCAATATCTATAATTCAAAATTTAAAATAGACACATAGTGCGACAAGTGGATAGCTTACCTGAACAAGCATTCCAGGGGGTTTATTGATGATGGCCAAATTGTGAAAATTAGAAAGTGAAAATAGGTTATACATGGAAGTAACTAAAGAAAGCAATGTCATTACCATCTAAAAAAGCCAATATTTCAGGACCATATATCAAGGGAAAGAAGAAATTTCATTTCCACTTCGTGGCAATGCACTCAGTTTTCCCATTAGGAAACTCCAGTAATAAGATGATCAATTGATGCTGTTGGGACCTAATGATCTAACCAAATTACATGATCTAATGATGTGTGAGCTGACATAGACTTTCCACAATAACATATTCCCTCAACAAAAACTTCATGAAAATTTACATTGTTTAAATTGTTTAATTGTTGTATACTTACCAGATGAGACCAAACCAATTTCAGATTTTAGGTTTAATTTCCCCCCACCACCGGTTCACCCGCCATTGCCATCTCCATCGCCATAGCCGCCACACCCGATGCTGGCCATCAACGCCATTGTTTCCATCGTCACAAGACTTACAACATTTATAGGCTCTCTCCTACAATTCCTTCTTTCTTCTTTCTTTACCTTTCTTTCATTTATTTGCTTTCTTACCCCTGGATGCTCATCAAGACTAGAAGATGATATTGTTGTGGTAGCATTGAGACTTCCTTTTTTGTTGGGAAAAAGTATATACAATGCCATTAGGATTCTATGTAGCCCAAATATAATTCTTCAATCAAACGATAAGTTTCTAAATCAACTTGTAATTCATTTTGTTCAAATACCAAAACTACTTTGGTTTAACCAATAAGTTTCTAAAATCTATATGGATGAATGTTGCGTGTAAACTGTAAAGTATATGCTCTTTTATCTTATTAGTTCAAATTTGTATTCCTCTAGGAGCCTTAATTTCTTACAGTTTATCATTACTATTCTCTGAACATGCCATTTACCTAGATTGAACATAGTAGCACCGAGTGTGAAACCAATCACCCAAAAAGAGACATTGATGATCAGTTTCCACAAAATTACACCTTCCCAATAAAAAATTCATTTTATTTGTTCGCCAATCTGACTACAGCCGAAATATGGCATCAATGAATTTTCATGGAGATCATCTCCCTTCACCTTAAAAAGATTAAAATGACCAAAAGAAAGGAAGAAACATATAAACTAAACTTAGTTTCATCAATGATGATCATCTAAGTTGATAATGAATAAAAAATAATGCACAAACCATATCTTGAAGCACACTACTTATCTTAGATTTTACAGGATGAAATGAGAATCTTCAACTATGGAGATAGTTTAGGAACATGATTGGATTGAAAAGGAGGATATAACAATATGTAGATGATAAAGTAGAAGAGCCTAGAACTTGTATGATGCTTGAGTTTTGATGTGTTATTTGCTTATTACCCAATTTATGGTAAGGTATTGGGGTTCTAAATGAAGAGAAGACACTTGATAGGGCTTTGAACAGTAACTTAAACAGTAAAATAGGCTATAAACAATGATGTGAAGAGTGTATTTGACTAGGAATCACTCCTAGGGTTCCTTAGGCCTCACATCTAGGATTAAAATTGCATCAGACAACTCAAAAGTATATATTTGCTAAATTTTTTTGAAAATATCTTTCTATTCTTTATTAAAACTATCATTAACTACATATAGAGTTTTAAGTACTTCTAATTCTAAAAGATTAGGAGTCCAACGTCTTTAGTACTCCAAAAACTGACATAAATTAAGACTCTAAATTTTAGAATATTCAAAATTATAATTTGACCCAAAAAAAGACCCACATGTCAGACTATGACCCATTCTACAAAATCTAAAAATCATAAAAATACCCCCGACTCTTAAAAAATATAAAAAAGACCCATAAAATACTAAGACTACCAAACTAACTAAAAATAATTAAAAATAAGAATCCAATTATGCTTATGCAAGCTCCCAAGTAGGCTCTATATCATCCAACATGTGCCAAATTATAGTTCAAGCCTTGAAAACATCTTTCTTTCGCCTTTTATAAACTTTATAAGGTTGTTGCCACTTGTCTATATCAGCAGGGCATCCAATGGAAAATGACAAGTGAACATGATTGTATTTGGTTGTAGCAATGGGTTGAGTCCAAGCAATTTGGTTTATTAGATGCAATCAAGTAATGAGACCATCATGCAAAAAAAAGCTGAATTGAATGATAGAGCTCAGATTAAAATAAACAAAAATTACAATTCATTTGTAGTTGAAGCAAGTGAACATAAGAATATGTCGTTTTTAGAGAAAGATTGTAGAAATTATAGTAACGAAGATAGTTATAGTTCAGGGAAGAAAATGCTACTACAATCCAAAATTATTCCTTCAAGATACAAGCTCAAAATGCAAAGACTTTGATGAAAAGATTTAGGTGAGGAATGTGTACTTTGGGCAGATACGATGAGTACGACATCATATGTGGAATTTGGTGATATTATTATATTTGACACAACATGCTTGAAAAATAAGTATAACATAACATTGGTTATTTTTGCCAAGGTAAATTGTCAGGAGCTATCGACGTTGCTTGGTTATAGATTTATCTTTGGCGAAAATACGAAAACATTTACTTGATTGTTTAAGTCTTGACTTGCATGTATAACATGCAATAATTACTAACCAAGACAGTCATGCAAGAAGCAATTGAAAATTTCTTTCTTGATGCTAAAGTCATGCAAGAAGTAATTGAAAATTTCTTTCGTAATGCTAGACATCACTGGTGTTTATGACATATAATGAAGAGGTTGCTTAAAAAGTTAAGATGTTACAAACAATATGAGTTCATCACATTTGTCTTGCAAATTGTTGTTGATGATACATTGACTCATAGTAGTTTGAAGAAAGCTAGAATGAGATGATTGAAAAGCATAAACATGTAGCTTATTTGACAGGAATGCATACTCTCCCTTCAGTATTTTTTTTTTCTTCTTTTATTACATCAACATTGGCTCTCCCTTCAGTATTATGTACACCTTCCCATCTAATAACTCTTTTTCGCAAAGGCCGCCACCTTGCGACTAATCATTGTCATGGAGCTTATACTTCTCACTCATAATTCCAACTTTCTTCAATCAACACTTTACGAGGAAAAACCTAATGGCTTTATATAGTTTGTAACATTTGAATGGCTTAATGGCTTTATATAGTTTCCTAATGTTCAGCTCATGCTGAACATTAGGAAAAATGTTCTCAACTTCTTTTTACATGACTTTATCTTGATATGTAACTATTGCACTAGGAGTCATACAAGTCAAGATTGAAACATCTAAGTAAAGTTATCCCTATCCTTCTAGGAGTGATAATCCACAATCAAGCACGTCTATTGCCAGAGATGATAGACCCCTATAATGAAAGAAAATGAGATGTTGCACTTATTTAAAAGTATATTGAGTCAAACATAACAACATAATCAAATTTTTTTATGTTACTATATTTTTTGCATCGACCTCCATCTAAATTCGTTGCGTTAGAATATTTGCATTTTAAGCTTGTATATTTAAGAAATAATGGATTGTAGTATCAAATCTTTCTCCAAGGAATAACCACCTTAGTTTCTCAATAAATTATATAATCTTTCTCTAAAAATGACATTTTTAGGTCCCCAGCTTCAACCACAAATAAATTGTAATATTTGTGTATTCTAATATCAGCTCTATCATGTAATTCAAACTTCTTTTTACACATTGTCTCACTACTTGATTGCAACAAGAGAAGCACACTTTTCTAAAGCTCAAACCATGATTATGAGCAAGCATGATAGAGTTCATTTCCCATCTTTCCACAAAACATATAAATGGCCTAAGCTTTGCCAGCAATTTATTTTCATATTTAGACGTGCCTTGAAAATATGGCTTAAAGTGTATTGTGCCTTGTTTGATCAAAAACTTTCAATCATCACTTGTAACCTAACTCAATTCCATCTCAATGCCATCACACCTTGTTGAGCATTCAAAGGTAAATTAATTAATAAAGCAAACAAACAAATAAATAAAAGGCAAAGGAATAGATATCTAAGATGTAGTTGTACGAGAGCAAAAGACATTTTATAAAAGGAGTGAAGATAGAAGCAATGGAGGCAGAGGTAAAAGCGCTGAAAGCAATAATGTCAGTGTTGTGGTCGGGTTTGTTTTGATGACCGTGAAGGTGGCAATAGTGGGGGCAGATACAATCGATCTCCTAGTTGCATCAAGTCCTTAGATGCCACCAGAAAAACTCATAGATGGTTTTGTAATGAAGATGTGCTTAAATGCAGACCGGAACAAGTGGAAACCCTAAAGGCAAAAAGAAGCTACAAAGCAGAAACATGAAATATTGGACGTTGAACTGGAAGAAGATATGCATGTTATTAACCACCTTCGTGATCAGTGTGCTAATCTTTCTCCTTAAGCGTTGTTCTGTCTAATATTATGAAATTTCAAAAAGAGACTTAGGAAGGTTGGCTATCATGCCCCTGACATTTCCCCTTAATGGAATTGTGATAATTTCGATAAAAAAAATAGATGAAAGAATATATGCATACATGAAAACTGTATTGAAACAATTGAGGAAAACCTCTTATCTATGCAGAATCGATAACAAAATATGTTTTCCAACGGAGATCAGCCACTTGGATTAACTAAAAATAGGAGCAGAGCATCTGTTACTTCTTTGAGCCGATATTGCTGAGCATTAGCCATGAATACCCAAAAATAACGTGCAATGTTAGTGGATTCTCTTCGAACCTGCGAACAAAGCATATGGTGATAAATTGGCTTCAAACTTGGGAACAAGATATAAATCAACTGAGTCTCAAATTTCAACATATTTTTCAAAAACATACATCTCATTCCCAGGATATTCTCAGTTAGATTTGAAACCAGACCTGTCTCAAATAAAAGCTTCTGCACGAGGTTAGCACTTATTGGAGCACCGTCGTGGTGGTGACGGCACTGCTGCAGAACGCCGTCCGGCGAGTTCTTTCCAGAGCGCAGCATCATCGTTAGCGGAACTTAACGGTGGTAAAGTGAACCATTTACCTTGCTTTCTCTCATCCTCGTCTTCGATCTCAAAGTCGTTGGTGGTAGTGTAGTAAGATCGCCACCTGTAAGAGGCTGAGATTAAGGTTCTTAAGCCGCTCGGTTATGGCGGCTAAGGGCTGTACACGGAGGAAGATTTGGCGGAAGATGGAAGGATCCGCCGTTTCAAAGGTTTTTAAGTATTGGAATTGAAAGACATACATATGTAGGGTTTAAAGAGCGGGAAAGTTGTGGTGCGCGTCCTCTTGCCGGTGAACTGGATCATCACTAGGCGAGCTTATATCAGGTCATGCTTCGATTGGCCCTGACCCAAGGCCAGTTAAATTGTGGGCTTCTCCTGGTTAAATGGGCCAGATTTTTTTTTCTTTTTCTTTTTTCAGTTTATTGAAGTTTGAGTAAAAAACATTAATACAATTTCTTACAAAAAAAATGATTTCATCCCAAAACTCGATGAATTTTTTTTATGAACACAAAAAAATAGACGCAAATTTTAGAACATACTTTACCCACAAAAATTGGTGTATTAAAAGCTTTGGAACGAGGTCTTTGAGCATTGCATTTATTATCCTTCTTAAAAAACTAGTTTTCAGACACAACTTATGTTTGAAAATCTTTTAAAATTTTATGGATCGTTTGGTAGCGTTTTTATTTTCACATTTTTAAAAAATTCAAAAACAGAGATAATTTGTATCTATGTTTTATAATAAACACTGAAATATAAAACATGTTTGAGAGTCATTTTTATTTATCAAATTATGAGAATAAAAACAAAAAACACATTTGGTAACTATTTCAAGTTTTATCTTAAATATGTTATATAAAATCTCATTTTTTATTTTCAAATAAATCAACACTTTATTTCATAAAAAATGATTTACAACCATAAATTAAAAACCTTCAGCACAGTACTAATCTTTCACAACCAGATTTTGTGAAAAAATCAGCCATGGAATTTGCCTCCCAGTACACATGCCCAAGTTGATATTGCAAGAACACCTAAAAGAGGAATCCAACTCACCCAAAAGGCCTTAACCTACACCTTACCACAATCAATCCTCAAATCAAAACAACCTAAATAAAATACAAATAGACGGTACATTACATCAAAATACAAATTCAAAAATTTTTTAAACCAAAACATCTACTAATTTATCAAAGAACATCTAAAGAAATATAGTTAAATTTATAAGTCAGTAATCACATTCATACATCATATTATTCAACATACAACCAAATACACACATTAATAAGTCATATTACTTAACTAAAATTTCAATAATTAGTACAAATGTCACGAACAATAATGTACAAATAAAGATCAAATTACAACCATAACAGGCAAGCATAAAAATAGTGATCCATTTCTTTTATCTTCATCTTGACTAAGTTTGAGGAATCACATGTTGTTCATTTATAATTGTATTGTACTTATCAACCCATGTGAAAGCAATTATCATGCTCACGCCTAGGAATGTCAAACGTGTCAAGTTAAACAGTTACATGTCGGGTTAAACGAGTGACGGGTGAAAAATACGTAA